CTTTTATGTAACGATGCACTAAAAAGTAGAAAATAAATTATAGACTACTATTTAAATAACTATAAAGAAAAGCGTGGGTGTCTTCCTTAACATTAGTAAAGGTATCCAATAGATACTAAAGTGACCCACGCTTTTCTTTATAGTTATTTAAATAGTAGTCTATACTTTATTTTCTACTTTTTAGTGCATCGTTACATAAAAGCTTGTTATTAAAACGTTTTTTATGAATTTTTTTTTTTATCGTCTGCTAGACAGAAAAATGTGTCTTGTTGAGTGCTTGTTTTTTGGATGCTTTAGTCCGCATGCGGTGGTTAGCTACAAATTGATTTGTTAGTGAATGAATGGGGGGGGGGAATGATAAATGGTACACTTAACTTACGCACGCGTGTACAAAAACGTGTAAATATAAGCACACACATATACACACATACACGTTTAAAAATAACGGAAACACACTCTTGTACAAAAATCTAGAGAAGTACATAACAATAGACAAACTTACAAACATAAGAACTCACTCAACTAAGATTACGCACGTAACTACACACAACTACCATATACATATTACATACACACAAATACATAAGAACTCGCACAACTATTCATACTTAATGCATACCCAACTACATACATAACAACATACCCAACTACATACATAGCTATATACATACAAAATTCACTCAAACATACATTCATAACTACTAACCACAACTACACACACATGTCTAAGCAAAAATCACCAATGCCAGCCACGCCCCCCCCCCCCCCCCCCTGTAACGTGAGCAGCCCTCATGTTTCTCCACCAACCCTCCCCCTCTCCCTGCCGTGTTTACACACTTCTGTAAAACCGTTTCATGTGTTGACGGCTGTCAAAACACCCCCGCCCCCGGGCAGCACCCCCCCCCCCATCTTGTCCATTGTCACACACTTACCTGGCAATCAGTAATTATCTCTGATTGACAGCTGGTCATGTTGATTCAACGGTTCTCACAATGTTGTCATAAGGCCCACATTCATACGTTCTTATCAATTCCGTTCAGTCAAGTTCTTTATTGGGTCATAAAAATTGTGTGGTCGAGCGGAAGCACACTCCAAACTAGTTCAGAATGTTCGAATCTTTTCTCAATAGCCTCTGATGGACGCTGTCAAAAATCATTTCTTTGTTTTCATTATCATTATATCAAAACGTAAAGAGATAAACTCTACTTCACCCGTAACATCCAGGTTTGTAAGACTATCCCACATCGTGGTTAAAACAAGCTATGGAAAGTCTTGAGTGTAAGTAGATAGTTGTAACTCCACACGATATTGAAGTCTATGTGATTTTACTTCCTTCATATCTCTGAGACATTAGCAATGGTGTATTGGATTTGTTGTTTGTCTTTCCACATAGGGCATCCGTCAAATATTTTCATTCCCCCACAGTCTGAGAATCTTTGCCACTATTTTCAGCTGTTCCCAATTATTGATCGGTATAACAAACGTTAAATCATGTACCCCATATTTTATATATATATATATATATATATATATATATATATATATATATATATATATATATATATATATATATATATATATATATATATATATATATATATATATATATATATAATGTGAGGTTCTGCACCTGTCCACCTAACAAGATGACGTCACTGCCTTGGTATGTGTGAGTCGATACAGACGACATTCGACCCCTGACCTCTACTAACATGTAGGGATCGGTGAGTGAGTTGGTGGTTGCTGTGACCTCATCTGCTGTGGGGTGGTCACTAGCGTTAGCTGATCCTAAACCCAAGTCACACTCCAGTCACTGAAGTCACCGCCAAGTCAACTATGTCACCGTTAAAATCACGCGTGTCGATGTTCATGGATGTAGGACGAAATTCCTGAGTGCTATATCAGTGTTAGAACAAATGTTCCGACCAAACATGTGTTTCGACCTAACGTCTTCTTTAGATAACTGTGTAAGAACAAATATCTTAATCTGATTTAATGTTTTAATTAGTGTCGGCGTGTGTGTTTCCAAAACTGGATTTAATTGCCGTCCAAACTTAAACTATACATTCCTCGTTCATTTTGATTTAAAATATAATATTTTGACATTTTTAATTCATAACAGGCTTATCAAATTAGTTATGTTTATATTTGTTGACAGATCATTAAATGATTGACCAAGTGATCACTCGATTAATGGTCTCGGTTTTTTTTATTAACTCTTTCAAGTTTCAAACGGTTTGTTTAACAAGACGATGGGCCCTCTTTGTTTTTAAGACAAGACAATCTCTTTGAAGTGCCGGCCAGCGTCCCCGTCCAGTCCACCGAGGTCAATTAATAACAATAACTGTCCTTGTCTGGACTAGACACTGGTCAACATTTGGCCCGGGTTGTGTGGACAGGATTTGTCTGGGCGTTTTTGGGGTGTTTTTTTTTCTTCTTCTGTTTTGTTGGTATTTAGACAAACCTTTCTGGTCCGTACACGTGTGGGGTGTGGATGTGGTTGTGGGAGTGGGGTATGTATGTTTTGGTGTGGATTTGTGGTTGTGTGTTTGGATGTGTGGATGTGGTTGGGTAGGGTGTGGGGTGTGGACGTCTGGGGTGTGAGGTGTGGGATGTGTGAGGCGTTGATGTGTGAGGTGCGGATGTGGTCGTGATTGTTTGGGGTGTGGACGTATGAACTGTGGAGGTGTGGATATGATTGTCTGGGGTGTGGATGTAGATATATGGGTGTAAATGTATGTGGTATTGGAGTGTGTGGATGTGTTTGGTTTTTGTGCGTGTAAATATATGGGGTGTAAGTGTACATGCGAGTTGTTTGAGTGTGGATGTGTGGGCTGTGAGGGTAGCTGTGTGGGGTGGCTGTCACAAATGTCAACCCTCACTAGGCGGAACACGGTTGACACGTGACAACCCTATACATTCCCGATGTAGCCAAATCTGCTTTGTTTCGTGTGTCCCTTGTCCTATTCATTGAATGAACTTTTAAAACACAACTAACTTCCCACATTAATCAACAACTGTAGAAACCAAAGGGCATATGATCTACTTTAAATACTCAAAAAGACGTTTCAATTCACCGTGTATCGTGCAGGTGGTTATTCTGTTATGGGGGTTTCAATTTGAAAGGGGGGGGGGGGGGTGTAGGGGGATTTCACACACAGCTGTAAAATTAAGCATATAATTAAGCGCTCTGGTGAGGAGATATTCTATCTCAAATTCCTGAACGGATATTTTTTTTTTATCCGTACAAAACACGTCAATAGATATTAGATTCTTTATCTCCCCCCCCCCCCCCCCCCCCCCCACCCTACCCAGTCACACGGACAGGTATATTTCAGACGAGATCAGAGAGGGATCCCTGTCTCCTTACCATAGGCTTTAATGGCCGACGTCGCCCCCCCCCCCCCCCCCCCCGTACGCCTTTTGTTCTGGTGACGTCTGACCTTTGCGTGTAGACGTCTTACTGAACGTCCCGTCAGCTTTATGCTCCGATTATCCACACACGTGATTGGCTATTTCAACAATGGGGGGGGAGGGGGGGAGAGGGGGAGTGGAATGTTATTGAAATAGGAGGTAGTTTATTACAACAAAGCTGACATGAAATAGGAGGTAGTTTATTACAACAAAGCTGACATGAAATAGGAGGTAGTTTATTACAACAAAGCTGACACGAAATCCTTTTAATCAGTTGGGATGCTTTACCTTTTAAAAAACTCGCGATAATACAACTTAATTATATCGTATAATTTATGGGCAATATTTTAGTTCATTTCCCAAGTCGCGTTAGGCAGGTGAAGTGGAGTTCGTCTGTTTCAATTACCTCGGCATACAAAAGGGGTAAAGTGGTCAGCACTATGTCCAGGCGCCTTTGTTTCCCTAACGTAAGCCAGGTACCCATTAAAGCTGGGTGAACTCAGAAACATCCTACAGATTTGAGCCCGGGATCCGAACTCGATACTTTCTGGTTAGCAGTCGTAGGCTTTGTCCAACCACGCCGATCACTATGTAAGCTCTATATAATATAATGCAAATTATTTCACTTAAACTTTGTAAGTCTCCGGCGCCTGAGAACCTAGCTACGCCACATGAATTTTAATCTCGACGTCATAGATCGTGAAGACGTCACTTGTATGACGTGCTCCGGTGATGAATGGTGACGTTGTGTCCCGACACATGGGTGTCTGACGCCGTCGCGTGTCTGGTCTGTGACGTGTTGTGTCACCTAGCTGTGACGTAGCTTCCTGTGACATATACTAATGACAGGACACAGGGGCAGGGGCGTAGCTGGGGGTGGACTCTTTGCTTGCTAATCTGGTCTACGTTTATTTATTCCCTCAAAATTAAAATGAGTATTGGTTATGTTTGCCTAGTTATCCATCTCTAGTATTATATGTGTGTAAAATGCGGATTGATAAATTGACATCCGCCGTGGAAATAATTCTTTCTGGTCCACATTCTGTGACTTTATTTCTGTGACTTTTTTTTTCCCGAAAAAATTTTTCTTGTGACTTTTTTTTTTCGTTGACTGTGGATGTGTGGGACAGTAAGGGTAACAGTGTTTCTTTTAGACTTTTTTCTCCGGAGGGGGGGTGAGCTTAGGCCTATAGAGGGTATTTATGGTGTGGCTAGCAGGGCGATACTCACAGGGACAATGTGTCAAAACAAATACCCCCACCCTTTCCGTTATCCCTTGTATTTACCTGTAACCCCCCCCCCCATCCCCCCCCCTCCCCTCACTGACACACTTCAAGTCAGGTGACCGCACCATAAGGCGTCAACCGTGTTCCCACCTATCACACACCCCTCCCCTTTTCCCCACTTCAGACCAGTGGTCAGTTGTTTACGGTCGCACCTCACTCACCACACCTACCGTCCACCTCCCCGACACCCACCTTCTAACAGCTGAGCGTGTCTGTTCGGTCCCAGCATTCTCCGCTGTATGACGTGTTCATATTTCCTGACTGGATAACTATCTTGTGCTTATGTTTCTGTCTAGTTAGTCTATTCGGCATGGGGTTGATGAGTACTAACTCTGACCTTGAACTTGTGGATATATTCTATTCTAGACCATGCAACACGCGTTGTTATCTTCCATGTGTGTTATTTTTATTAGACAAATCCGATTACATGTGTTGAAAAAGTGACGTTATTTCCTAATGTGGTTTCCGGAGATTACGTATGTGTGTTCTACGTCACATGATAAAAACACGAGGTAGATAGACCCACACGAGGGAACACACTATGCAGGGGTCAAGGACTCGGCCCGTGTCCACGGCCGCCACCTCCCCCACCCTGTGTGAGAAACATGGCGGTCTGTCTTGCCTGGATAACGGCGGGCCGGCCCACAACAAGCACCTGGTGGTCAGTCTGGAGGAGCTGGACAAACTGTCCCGGCATTCCCTCAACTGGGAGGAGTTTTTTGGTAAGGAATTTTTTTTGTCTCACTCCGACATGTACGAGGTAATCTGGACAATGCTTATGGAGACTTAAAAGGGCAGGGTTGGCCTGTAGTAGACTAGGTTGGTCGTGGTGGCCTATAGTAGGCTGGGTTGGCCCTGAGAGGGTTGACCTAAAGTCGATTCAGCTGGCCTACATTAGACCGGGTTGGCCTTCTTTATATTTATATAGTTCAATTTCAATCGCATATTACCACATACAGTGGCCAATGTGATTTTTTTTAAAGCCTCCGTGCCTACTGTTGTTACCGTATTAAATAACGTTAAAAAATTATGTTTTTAGTGGTTTTATATAGATATATCAGGTTGGGTTGACCTAAAGTGGGCTGGGTTGACCTTCAATAGGTCGGGTTGGCCTATGAACATTCTAAAAATATGTGTACACCTGTTTAAAGATGAATACGTTTTAGTTTTAGTCAGGTAAAGAATCGTGTGTGTATATAGTAGCCTACTCCACTATTTACTTAAATACAGTGTGATTTTATTTTTAAAAACCCAGTAAACACTGATCATATTCAGCATTTGAGATATTGGTGTTTTATTTACAAACCCTAATACGCAATGCATAAGCCTCCCTCCGTACTAGATCTAGATTTTCTCCACCCCTCACCCCCAGCACACATGATTTTATCTTCTTTGAGTTCTGTAGTGTGACTGTTTGCTTACTTCAACCACACTTGTGAATGAAACCCACCGTACTATACAAAATACAAAAATTTCTCGCATACTCTAAGTTTGCTCTTTTAATCTGAAACTTATCGTCGCATATTAAACTTTGCATGCTCTCACACGTAACCATGCTACAGTTTATATTGTTTGTTTGTTTTTTGTTTTTGCTTGAGCCAAACCCACCCTGTTTATCATGTGGTAATTATTACATAAGGTTCTAATCAACATTGCTAATCGGGGATTCTCTGAACGTGGCGCGTACATTTTCCCGCGGTGAGGTGTTATCATAGCCTCGCACTGATAGCAACGCGTGGCTCTGATTGGTTGTCACAGACGCCGGGTTTTGTTTACGTGTGAGGCTGTTGTCTGAGTTAAGCTCAGGGCCTGGGGAAGTGTGTTCAGCACACGCGACAGAACTCCTACACACCCGAGGGATTTCTAGGTGCCGAAAGTCTAATAAAATAGCCTCAATACCCTACCAGAAACCTCATAAAATAGCCTCAATACCCTACCAGAAACCTCATAAAATAGCCTCTATACCCTACCAGAAACCTAATAAAATAGCCCCAATACCTTACCAGAAACCTAATAAAATAGCCCCAATACCTTACCAGAAACCTCATAAAATAGCCTCAATACCCTACCAGAAACCTCATAAAATAGCCTCTATACCCTACCAGAAACCTAATAAAATAGCCCCAATACCCTACCAGAAACCTCATAAAATAGCCTCAATACCATACAATAAAACCTCATAAAATAGCCCCAATACCCTACCAGAAACCTCATAAAATAGCCCCAATACAATACCAGAAACCTCATAAAATAGCCCCAATACAATACCAGAAAACATCATAAAATAGCCCCAATACCCTACCAGAAACCTCATAAAATAGCCCCAATACCCTACCAGAAACATCATAAAATAGCCCCAATACAATACCAGAAAACATCATAAAATAGCCCCAATACCCTACCAGAAACATAATAAAATAGCCTCAATTCCCTATAAGAAAACCTATTCAAAGTAGCCTCTATACCCTACCAGAAAAAACCCATAAAGAATCTCAATAGCCTCAATTTATGACGTGTAGGTTATGTGAAACAAGTATGGCCCACTACTCCTTATTTTAAGCAGAGATTTTTGTCCCTTGAACCAAAAGCTTACCTTGGTTGTTATTTGAGTTGCTTTGTCCAATGACCTTGACATCTCGACTCACATATGCAACCTGATCGATGGGATATCACAAGGAGATAATGGCGCGATTGATGAAACCCTTTGATAAGTATATAGGTAATTCACGTCAAGCCTGCCCTGATTGCCCGCCCCTCGCTGTTTCATTGACGGAGCTTAGAATGGCGAAATTAAGCTCAGGGAGGGTATCAAAAGACGTAGGGGTTTTTAACTCAGTGGGGTCAGACCCTTGTCGTCTGACCACAATCCTTGTGGCGCCATCCTTACAACTTTTCATCCTCTCCCTCTTCACATAAACCCTCGTGTTTTTTTTATGCAATTAACAACATGAGCATCAAATCACACAACTTGATACAATAGCTTCCGATTCAGTCTACACACAACAATCTGAACTATGACCTACATCTTGAGTACGCATGCGCCTGCGCTTAGATATTCGTATCCGCAAGGAATGTGACATAAGCGCTTGTTGCAGATTGTTGGAGTTTATCTACCTGCAGGCAGTGACGTGAGACCTGCCACAGGCTCCGTGTTGTATACAAACATAAGGCTACGGAGCCCTAATCTAGGTCTAGTGGAGTCTACATTCTATAATCCCAGTTACTATCTCATCTATACCTAGTGACTACCTCCTTAGTCCAGTGACTACCTCCTCTAGACCTAGTGACTACCTCCTCTAGACCTAGTGACTGCCTCCTCTAAACCTAGTGACTACCTCCTCTAGACCTAGTGACTACCCCCTCTAGACCGATTGACTACCTCCTAAGCCAAGTGACTACCTCCAATAAACCTTGAGGTGACACCACTATCTCTATGAATGACTTCTGACGTCGTGTATGCCTTGTGTCTCAGTAAATCATCTCATCACGATACATACAATCTACCTTTGTACAACAGTCATAACATCAGCCAACTTGACTTCATCTTAGAAAAATATAAACAAATAACCATCTGATCCTTTTTCCCCAGGTGTTAGAAATATAAAGCCACTATCTTATGTACTGGTTGTTATCAATGCAATATCATTCATGAAAAAAAGCCATTTGTTAAAGTCCTAGATCGAATCCCTCCGGTACCTCACAAAGCTAAGCTAATTTTTCTTTGTTTGTTTTCTCCCAGGGTCATCTCTGGACCTCGCGCCGTCCCTCCTCAACATCTATGATGACATCGCTTCCTCTGGAACCAGAATGGACGGCACTGACGACCTTGATGGCAGCCTAACCCAGAACAAGGTCACCAAAACACAGTCGTTACCCGCCAGAGCATCGCGACCTTTCAGCGGTCAAGGTCATGTGGAGTTGATGTCCACGATCAGCGAACCGTACGAGGGGTCAGTGTCAATGATGGAAGCAGAGACTGCCACAGCAGAAGATCAGCAGACGGACAATAAGAAAAGGCCGTTGAGCATCAGCTCCATGTCGTCTGCGTCTACGTCATCACTGCCGCGGTTGAGAAAAAAGCGGGCGAACCAGAGAGGGCGAGTCCTTGAGGAAGGGGAGTCGAAAAACGCGGAGATTGTGGAGATGTCTGCCAGACTGGCGTCAGACATGACGCAGACTTCAGCCGAGTCAAGGAACAGCGTGGACAGCGGGTGCGTCGTTGGGGATCGACACGGGGATAAAAATTTTGACAATATGAGCATTACGTCATCGGAAACCGGGAGTATAAGAGACGAGGTGGACTACCAGCGGGACTCTTCCTCGGCACTCTCATCGTCTCCCATGACGGAAACTTCTGGAAAATTATCTCATGGTTCGCCTAAACACGGTGACTCGTACCCGAGTTCTCCCCACACATCATCGTCTAACTCTCCTTCTAAAACAGCAGGATCGAAACACGCCGTGGACTCGCCCGCTACAGGTGAGACAAAACAAAAAACATGGACGCCAAAAAATAAAAAATCCAACTCTTTTTCTCAAGATAACGGAAGAAAATCTACAAGCAATAACTCCGTGGAGCCAAGACTCCGACGAGAGAACCATCAACCTGTACATTTATCATCCTCGTTATCAAATTCTTCTTCAGCCTCTTCCGTTTCCCAGAGTTCCGCAGCAGGAGTTCCAGAGAGCACCCGGCGATCTCTCAGCACGTCCCAACGCCATGAAGCGCGGCAACGATTTTTCTCAAACTACGAGGAACACATCGGCTTATCCTCGCCCACATCCCCGACCCACGCCGACCCCTTCACGACCCACCGCGCGGACCAATCCCAGTCCAAGTCTCATTTCGACCAAACATCCTCCCACCAAACATCTCCACACCAAACAACAGCAGCACTTCCTACAGAATCATCACACAGACCCACATCAGGGAACACCCGCCGGAGGGACCGAGAAAACTCCTCCCAGAGCAGCCAAAACTCGGACAAATCTTCCCGTCATCCGGACCGCAAGACAAAACCCAGCGGCGACAACCCAGCATCCGGCAAGTCCGGCTTCTCCAAGTCGATGAAGAAGAAGGACACGCCCCTGGAGTCGAGCAGCCGTTCGAGTCCGGTCTACGTGAGTTACGTGCAGCGGGTGGTAACGGAGATCCTGGAATCTGAGAGGACTTACATCAGCAGCCTCGTGGACATCATCAAGGTGAGTCGTGTCTTAGAATTTTATTTTAATTACAGTCTGTGTTACAAGACTTAAGTTTTCTCCATTATATTGCTCGCCAAAATAAGTTTCCTTTGAACATTGCGAACAGATGAAGTAGAGTTACCTGTATCTTTGACCCGGTAAATAAATGGGTAGTGTGGTCAGCCGCCTTTACTTTACCTAATGTGAGTCAGGTACTCGTCTGAGCTGGGTGGACTCAGGGGGCGTCCCAAGCCCGGAATTCGAACTTGAGACTTTCACTTTAGCATTCGTGCGCGCTACTATCTGACTACACTGTCCCTTATTGATCAAAAAAAGCTTCGGATTATATACACAAGAAAACCAATACAAAAATATGCACTGTTGGTGTTATAAAATCCATAACACAGGGCGATTCAGCATCATATCGAAGTAACTATTCTGTAAGTGTTGGGTTAGAATGGGGGGTTAAATTATAGTCCTAAGGTCTGGGATTAGGGACAAAGCTAGATACGGATGAGTGACACACCTGTCTTAACGTATTTTAAACGAATTAGCATATGGGTGTGTTCAAGGTTATTTCTTATCTTAAATTGATATTGGAGTAAGGTCAAGGTTATTTATGGTCGTTAACTGATGCCAGAATGAAGTTTCTGATAATTTGAAGTCAACTCCTCCCAAAACGTCTGCTTCAGATTCTCATCTAATCTCTGTGTGTTTCCCCGAATGTCCTCTTCAATTACCAACATCACCTGTGTCTAGAACCACTGCTTAACTGGAATCTTTTTCTTGCCCCCTAAAGTATCCCATAATTTCAACACTGAATACTTCCGGTACCCAATCTGTTTGGCCTTGGGCTGAAAGAAACAAAAAATGTAAACAAACTCGTGTTATCTAATGACTAGGCCAATCTTACACATTGTTCCTTAACATCTTCCATTTGTTCCTTCATTTGTTCCTTCACACCTTCCACTTGTTCCCCACTTGTTCCTTCCCATCTTCTACTTGTTCCCCACTTATTCCTTCACATCTTCCACTTGTTCCTTCACATCTTCCACTTGTTCCCCACTTGTTCCTTCACATCTTCCACTTGTTCCTTCACATCTTCCACTTGTTCCCCACTTGTTCCTTCACATCTTCCACTTGTTCCCCACTTGTTCCTTCACATCTTCCACTTGTTCCCCACTTGTTCCCCACTTGTTCCTTCACATCTTCCACTTGTTCCTTCACATCTTCCACTTGTTCCTTCACATCTTCCACTTGTTCCCCACTTGTTCCTTCACATCTTCCACTTGTTCCCCACTTGTTCCTTCACATCTTCCACTTGTTCCTTCACATCTTCCACTTGTTCCCCACTTGTTCCTTCACATCTTCCACTTGTTCCTTCACATCTTCCACTTGTTCCTTCACATCTTCCACTTGTTCCCCGCTTGTTCCTTCACATCTTCCACTTGTTCCCCACTTGTTCCTTTACATCTTCCACTTGTTCCTTCACATCTTCCACTTGTTCCCCACTTGTTCCTTCACATCTTCCACTTGTTCCTTCACATCTTCCACTTGTTCCTTCACATCTTCCACTTGTTCCCCATTTGTTCCTTCACATCTTCCACTTGTTCCTTCATATCTTCCACTTGTTCCCCACCTGTTCCTTCACATCTTCCACTTGTTCCCCACTTGTTCCTTCACATCTTCCACTTGTTCCCCACCTGTTCCTTCACATCTTCCACTTGTTCCCCACCTGTTCCTTCACATCTTCCACTTGTTCCCCACTTGTTCCTTCACATCTTCCACTTGTTCCCCACCTGTTCCTTCACATCTTCCCCATTTGTTCCTTCACATCTTCCACTTGTTCCTTCATATCTTCCACTTGTTCCCCACTTGTTCCTTCACATATTCCACTTGTTCCCCACTTGTTCCTTCACATCTTCCACTTGTTCCTTCACATCTTCCACTTGTTCCTTCACACCTTCCACTTGTTCCCCACTTGTTCCTTCACATCTTCCACTTGTTCCTTCACATCTTCCACTTGTTCCTTCACATCTTCCACTTGTTCCCCATTTGTTCCTTCACATCTTCCACTTGTTCCTTCATATCTTCCACTTGTTCCCCACTTGTTCCTTCACATCTTCCACTTGTTCCCCATTGTTCCTTCACATCTTCCACTTGTTCCCCACCTGTTCCTTCACATCTTCCACTTGTTCCCCACTTGTTCCTTCACATCTTCCACTTGTTCCCCACCTGTTCCTTCACATCTTCCACTTGTTCCCCATTTGTTCCTTCACATCTTCCACTTGTTCCTTCATATCTTCCACTTGTTCCCCACTTGTTCCTTCACATATTCCACTTGTTCCCCACTTGTTCCTTCACATCTTCCACTTGTTCCCCACTTGTTCCTTCACATCTTCCACTTGTTCCTTCACATCTTCCACTTGTTCCTTCACATCTTCCACTTGTTCACCATTTGTTCCTTCACATCTTCCACTTGTTCCTTCACATCTTCCACTTGTTCCCCACCTGTTCCTTCACATCTTCCACTTGTTCCCCACTTGTTCCTTCACATCTTCCACTTGTTCCCCACCTGTTCCTTCACATCTTCCACTTGTTCCCCACCTGTTCCTTCACATCTTCCACTTGTTCCCCACTTGTTCCTTCACATCTTCCACTTGTTCCCCACCTGTTCCTTCACATCTTCCACTTGTTCCCCATTTGTTCCTTCACATCTTCCACTTGTTCCTTCATATCTTCCACTTGTTCCCCACTTGTTCCTTCACATATTCCACTTGTTCCCCACTTGTTCCTTCACATCTTCCACTTGTTCCTTCACATCTTCCACTTGTTCCCCACTTGTTCCTTCACATCTTCCACTTGTTCCTTCACATCTTCCACTTGTTCCTTCACATCTTCCACTTGTTCCCCATTTGTTCCTTCACATCTTCCACTTGTTCCTTCATATCTTCCACTTGTTCCCCACTTGTTCCTTCACATCTTCCACTTGTTCCCCATTGTTCCTTCACATCTTCCACTTGTTCCCCACTTGCGTTACCATTGTTGTTTGTTTTTGTGCTTGCGTTTGTTTGTTTTCGTTTAAGTTGGTGTTTGTGTTTGCGTTCGCATTATTTTTGCGTTTATGTTTGCGTTAAAGTTTGTGTTTGCGTTAACGTTCGTGTTTGTTTCCTTTTAAATTTGCGTTTATATTTTTTGCGTGTATATATATAATATCCATAGGAAATATTCTGTGTACGTACCATTAACATTGTCTAAAATATTTACCTTACAGTACCTGTAGGTATTTCGATGAGTATATCACTTGAAGTGTTGACTTTATGGGTGATTTGTTTACCAATTATTCGCGCCGTCTTCTAGTGGCGCCACAAGGCTCGTATAACGGCATATACGCCTTTAAACGGGTAGCGGGCCTGTACTCACCCCAGTTCTTAGACGGGTAGCGGGCCTGTACTCACCCCAGTTCTTAGACGGTGGTGGGCCTATACTCACCCCAGTTCTTAGACGGGTAGCGGCCTGTACTCACCCCAGTTCTTAGACGGTGGTGGGCCTATACTCACCCCAGTTCTTAGACGGTGGTGGGCCTATACTCACCCCAGTTCTTAGACGGGTGGCGGGCCTGTACTCACCCCAGTTCTTAGACGGGTGGAAGCCTATACTCACCCCAGTTCTGGGTGGCGGGCCTGTACTCACCCCAGTTCTGTGTGGTGGGCCTGTACTCACCCCAGTTCTGGGTGGTGGGCCTGTACTCACCCCAGTTCTTAGACGTGTGGCAGGCCGTTTGCTCACCCCAGCTTTCGAGCTCATGTGCTTCACACGCCGGTATTGTCGGTTATATCATGATTTCAGCGCCTTCTCTTGAATAAAAATGTTCCCTAAAAAATATCCCGAAATATGTTCTATAACATATTTCTACAAGTATATGTTTACTAAAGAATGTTCCTTCCTCAATATGTTCATTAACAGATGTTTCTTAAACAATGTGCTCCCTTAATGTTCCATAAACAATATGTTGATCCCAAAACGATGTTCCTTAAACAAATGTTCCATAAACCCATTTCTTTAAAATTACATTCACGAAAAAATGTGTTCCTTAAAATATGTTACTAAACCATGTGACGGAAGGTGTTATTAGGTGGTATTTCTGTGGGATCCTATACGATGCACTGTTTGGAATCTTGATGTAGTATTCTTCAAGTGATATCCGGTGGTTTCTGTGTGGTACGCATCCTATCTCTAGTTTAAAAGAAAACCATAGTCTTAACTCCTAAACACGCCCTAAACACCTACGCAAATCCAAACCATATTAGATCTATGTCTCCTCTTTTCGGTCTTGTCGCGAAACTTCCATTATTTTGTCAGAATTTTTTAAATTAAAATTTTATGTTCCGGTGTAGTCCAAAAAAAAAAAAAAAAACACAGACGGTATTAAGAAAGGTGGAAGAAGTTTATCGGGTATCCCCATTAAAGACACCGGGAACAAAGAACAGGTAACCGCCGAACTCCGGCGAGATTACCTCCCCTCGCTTGCGGGGTTAGATATGTTTTTCATGTTGTCGGCTAGGTGGCGCGCTTAGCTAAAGGGTACGCGTCAAATCCGAGTAGTCTGATATTTCTGTGTGTTCCTAGGTGGCATTTCGGCATGTCTTAGCTGTTTGATTACGTCATTTTCAGTATTCTTCTGTGTTTTTGTTCCACAAGGCATCTAGTCCAGCTGCGATATGGTTAGAAGTACCACGCATCGAGTGGTAAATTTAACCGGAAGTAAATGTATCTAACCTAAACGATAACTTTAACTTACCTCACCAATTTTTCTTTTAATCTCTCCGTCTCTCTCGTATTTCAGCTATAGTCACCCCCCCCCCCCTCGTATTACAGCCATATTACCCCCACCCACCTCCTCCAAACCTCGGTTTAAATAGACAAATAGTTAAATTCAAATAGAAAATGTATACTTTTACGCTTTTCGCCCCCTCCCCCGAAAGTTCCAAAGTTTCAAGTGCCCCACACCCCCCTCC